TGATTCCCCATATCCGTTGGTCAGCAGGCCTGCCTCCCATGCTTCAACAATAGCATGGCTATTTGAACCTCCGAAACCAAACGAATTGACCGAGGCTCGTGGAGCCCGGGATACCGGCCACACTTGATTCGCAGTGACAATGTCTACGTTCCATTCCCTGCATTTGATCCTCGGATTGATTACCTTTACCCCAACCGTCGCAGGGATTATCTTATTCTCGAGTGCTAGAATGATTTTGATTAGACCCGATAGACCACTCGCCCCCTCGCTGTGACCCAAATTTGGCTTGACCCCGCCAACGAGCGTCGGGCGTCCTGTTCGATGCTGAAAGACACCGGATATTGCCTCGACTTCTGTAGGATCACCGACTTTAGTGCCGGTCCCATGCGCCTTTCATTATCAGCATATATATTTGCCACCATTCCAGGAAGCGTACTTCGACATAATCCGTCTCTCCCGGATCCAGACCTGCCCGACGATACGCCGCCCGAATAACGGCCCTTTGCCCTTCCACACTGGGTTGAGAAATGCCCGGTGTTCGACCATTCCTTTGCAGCATGATTAGTATTTAGCCCTCCTACCAAAATGGACACTCACCCATTAACAGCAGTCCCCCTAATGACCGAACGAACAGGATCCCCATCCCTCAGCGCATCACCTAGCCTCTTCAAATAAACAGCGGACACCCCCTCGGCCCTCGCATACCCATTCGCCTTTTCATCAAAAGTATGACACATCGCATCCGGCGACAGAACCCCCGCCTTAACAGCAACCATCTGCTCCTCCGGCGATTGAATCAGATTCGCAGCCGCCACGACAGCCGCATCACAGTCCCCAGCATCGAGCGCCAAGCAAGCCGAATGCAAGGCATACAACGACGACGAACATGCCGTATCAATAACATGCGACGGGCCTCGCAAATCGAAGCAATGTGTAATACGATTTGCTAGCACAGCTAGTCCCGTTCCCGTGGCAGTGTATCGAGAGGAATACTCTGGGTCTTTGTACTGCATGTTCAGGAAGTCGTTGGTGAAATTGCCCACATAGACGCCGGTATTGGAGCCGTGCATTTTTTCCTGTGGTATGCCAGCGTTCTCAAGCGCTTCGTACGTTACTTCGAGGAGCTTTCGCTGCTGTGGATCCATGGATGTCGCTTCCAGGTTGTTGATTCCGAAGAAAACATTTTCGAAGGCGTGGATGTCTTCTTGGATGGAGTAGCCGCCGGTAGAGTTGATGCTCCCCGGTCGGTCGGCGTCGGGGTGGTAGTATCCTGCGGCGTTGTAGCGCGAGGGTGGGACGGGGCCATAGCCTGTTGCGTTGTTGATGAGGAGGTCCCAGAGTTTGGATGGGGATGAGGCTTGGCCTGGGAGGCGGCATCCTAGGCCAATTTTAGTATGAAAGTACCATCAGTTTGGGAGGGAGTAGGGTTTCTTACCTATGCCTATAATGGCGATGGGTTCACAGGGAGTAGTTGATGTTGAGTGCTCCATGCTAGGGCTCAGTTATGGCGTTCAAACCTTATCGACGATAGTTTGTGATAACATCCGATGTAAGAATAAGGGAGTGCTAATCGGACTATTTATTCGCGGCTTCATCAATCAAAACTATAAAAAGGTCAAGTTTCTAGATACATGAATCCTGGATTAAGAAATCTGTCGGAACCTGTCGATGAAGGCTGCGCGAATCATGATGAGACGCATTCCCGAATAAAACTGGAAAAGAAAGTAGAAAATCAAGACATACAAAAACTGGGACAATGCGTCAATTTTCCTGCTTCGGCATGCTTGGTCTGTTTGCTGGTACACGTCTCGGGTTCCTACAGGCTATCCACCATTTTTCTGCAGATATTGCCGCTGTCAGTAAAGTTTATCGTAGAATTTGCGGTATAAGAAGGAAATTACAAGATTTGCTTACAGTGTAGGTTTACTCCGGAGTAGACTTATCCTTGATTCGAATCCGGCTACTTCTCCTTGACAGGTGGTAGTTCTAGTACCCAAGCGATTTATATCGGTCGCATTTCTTATTTTGGGATATAGGAAAATCTACCAGGCATGTTATGTCCCATAATAAAACGCTTCGATGTGTTTCTAGTCAGTAGATGTCAAGCAGATATTACAAACATTAGAAGAATCATAAGAAACCCCCTATTCTTGACCCCATCCCAATGTAGCAACCACTACTCTTCCACCCCCAACTCCCGCAACAAATCCGCCTTAACATCCCTCAGAAACTCTTCCATCTGCTCCTCCGTATGATACGCCTCATTAAACACTACCCTCAACGTCAACTGATCCCGAAACGTCCAAACATACACCACGCCCTGTCTTGCGAGCATCTCCACTCCAAGCCCCGCATACAATATACTAAACCCACTCTCAGGACTTCCATACTCCCTCTGCAAATACTTCTCTAGAACCCCTAGACTACTGATATCAACATCACTTGGCGGCTCATCCGGCGCCGGAAGGTTCCGCAGCAACTTCACCAACAAGGTCGCATATTCGCGATGAGCGAGAACATACTCTTCATTAAGTCCCCGCCGATATTCAGCGTGATACTTGCGCGCATTCTCTTCCCAGGTACTTGAGGCGTCGACGTGGTACATCCAGCCGGTGGTGAACAGCGTGGCAGCTCCCGCCGGGCCGGAGTATGGTTGGGGCATGTACGGCCGCAGCGTGTGCCGGATAGTGCTAGTGTAGTGACGACCCTGGGCACGATGCTCGGGGATAGCATGCCGGAAGTTTACTGCTGCGACGCTTGCGTGCGTGGCGGCAGTAATGCCGAGGCCCCGGGCTTTCGTGGCGGAGAGAACAGCGGCGGTGGTCGCCGGGGTGAAGGTTAGCTCGGCGGCTCGGGTGCCCGTCGGGATGGTGGTGGCGTCTCCCGTGTATGGGATTCCGACGGCGCCTTGGGCGTAGGCGAAGGTCTCTACTGCTTCCTGTGCGATGTCCTTTTGCTCGTCTGTCGGGTTTAAGGGCATTTTGCCGGCTTCTTCGACGGATAGGGATAGTCGGGTGGTTTCTGTTCCCCAGGTGAAGGCGTCGAAGGCGTTGGGGAGGTTCCCTGAGAGAATGGTGTCGGCGTGAGTAGACATTAGGTCGACGAGCTGGCCGAGGAGGAGGAAGCCGCCTACTCCGTCAGTGCGCCAGTGTGCTGTGTGCAGGAGGAGTTGCGAGGATTTGGGGATGTAGTAGATTTGGGCGTCAGGGGCGGGTGCGATGGTGCGGATCACATCGTCGGCGGATTGGGCGTCCGACTTGATGAAAAAGGTTTGCGAAGCCCATTGATTGAGGGTGTCGACAGAGTCGGGAATTGTGTACACGAGGTTGGCGTTGGAGGAGTCTGGATGCGCTGCTAGACTAGGGTGTTGGAAGCGCAGGTGCAACCAGCTGTGGCGGATCAGGGCTGGGAGGAGATCGACTGCGAAGTCCCCGCGGGGACGGATAGTGATAGTGAAGTTCACTGCCCAGTTTTCACGGCCTAACGGGTGGCCAAAGTCACTGACCAGCTTGATGAACACCTCGTTAGGACCAAGGGGCCGGGTGAGAGTGTTCGCCGAGTGCTCTGTTGTTGTCCACGGCATGATTGTAATAAATGTGTGGGCTGTTGCGGGGTCGATGGAAGGTCATGACCTTGGGTTGAAATATATGCTTTGCAGCGAAGGATTTACTTAGCTCTAAGCCTCGTCTATTGGGGGCTAAAAAGATTAGTCGCTACTAGGACGACAAAGCATAGCCTTGTCTGTGCTCTCCCGATGAACGGTGAGACGGGAGGAAACACTGTCCATCATGCGATTCCCAGCGGAGAAGATCGAATGTGATATTTGACCAATCGACGACAAGACCCACTGCCAGTGGAGTGCGAGTTCTACTTGATCAAGCAGGTCATTTGACAAGAGTTAGCACTACCCATGCACTAGCATGCATAGCGCTCATTCCAGTCCGCTTGAGCCCCGCTGAAGAGCGATGATGATGCTGCCTTCTGCATTAGCTCGGGGTCACACAGCAACAGTGGTAAACCAGGAATATAAATATGACTTACATGCATTGAAAACACCCAAAGTCAGTATATAAGTCCCAGAGTTCCAATGCAGGTGGACGGTGTTTGGCCTGCTCCACTGATCCACCGAGATGTCGCATAAACGTCGAGGAAAATCTCCATTCATGGGTCCCGTACAAAAAAGTTCCAGGGGAAGACGAGGAATTTAGTACGAGAGCCGTGAAGCCTGATACTACGGATAGGCCCTCGGCCGCAGAACGTGTGCAAGCCAAGTCGTTCAATTATGGATGATGAATGGCAGAGGATTGCCCCGCATCTGACCCGTCAATGAGCAGACAGGGTGAGTTTAACATGAAATTAGCCAACAGCATGGAATAGCATTTCCATTATGACAGAATAAACTCACTGAATATTGTTATGTTGAAGGATCGCTCAAGGACCTGCTACGAATCCTTATCTTATCTGCCTATTGTTGCCCAAATTTGGGCGCATGCGGAGGAAGGCCAGGAACACAACAAGGAAAGTAGCCTTCGCGCCAGTGCTGAGAGGGTGACTTGGATTGGTGCATTACCGATGCATCTCACGTCTCCACTGCCACATCACAGCTGTACTATAAGTCTGTGTAGTGCTATATTGTGATGGGCGCTAAGTTGCAGTTTGCATGAACGCGCCGGGCCAATGATTTTCATCCACAATAGCAGCTGAATGCACCTCAAGCTCAGCTCCGCATTCCCCAATCGTTTCATGTCTACAATGGAAAGTTCACGTCCCAAAGATGTCGCGCCCTCGTCTGGTAGCTGCTGGAATCTGCTCCGAGGGGTGTTCTCTAGCGGGAAACAGAAAACCCAGACCACAGATCGGCCACAAACAGATCAACCCCAAGAAATTGGGCGGACAAACTCCGCTCAGAAGGTCCCGTTTAATCCTTCGCCCGAGATAGACTTATGGTCACCAGCACAACTGGCCATTCCAGCACCTCCACACTAAACGATAGACCCAGTATGGGATCGACAGCAGTCAAAGGTCTCTGGCAGGAGGCATATGAACTGCTTATCCGCGACCCAAATAACGCCGGTCTAGTCAAAGCCTACGAGAGTGCTCTCTTGCATGAAGAGAAGGAAGGAGAGGGTCCCGACAACGATGAGCACGGCATTAGCCCGCTTCTACACACGATCGTTCGCCGAAAGCTGGAGGATATCCGGTATTCTCTAACAAAGTTCCGTTTGGGAGGCAAAGAAATATTTGTTAAAGACCAGGTCCGTCGGGGGATCAACTTAGTTGTGTCGGTACAAGGTATTGTGACCACGGCAGTGAGTTCAGAGCCACATGCTGCGGTCCAGAACAACCGATTGGAAGCACCCTTTTTCTATATGGAAGTCTATAAATCCAAGAGGAATAGCCATTTCAGTGATGTCGACTTAAGCATGGTGGTCATCTAGCATAGGGTTACTCCTCAAGACCCTTTCAATACCCCTTACCGGCAATCTGCGTGGTGCAGCCCATACAAGGTCCTCATAAAAGCATCTGTAACGCTTATTAGCCATGAATCTCCGTCTTCTCTTGGCTTGGGGAACACGTAGGCTCCAGGGTCATAGGGATAGACGCTGAAGACTCTAGGTAGAAGGAACCGCATACGCCCCGCTCGAGTTAGCGGCGGGGGGTACAGATGCATAAGGAACATGCATGTTTAAAGCAAGATATAGACGACGAACGAGGAGAATGGCGACACGCATGCAGCTAGTTGGACAGCTGAACCATTCGTTCATACTTAATTCTGTATGACTGCGCTTTTGCTTCGCTTTTTCTGTATATTCATTTGTGCCAAGCTACGACTACGGTCTTTCTACGTCGTACCGTGCACTGCTTCGTGATTTACATATGGTTACGGTGAGGTATAGGTTTTCAAGGCATTCTGGGCCATATTCTTTGCTTCGAATGGTGAATAATCTGCATGTCTAGCATCGTCATCACAAGCCAGCAAGGCAAACTTTCCTAAATTTTCCCCCCTACTTCCACTTCCATAGAATCAGCAGCTACATGGTTCACTACATCGCTGTTTCATCTGACCTAACGCCACTCTCGTTTCACCAGCCATTCCATAAAGACCATTTACTAAACTCAAATATCTTCTTACTGCGTAAAAAGTAGAACAATATCCTCAGTGATCGATGAGAATTCCTTAATCGTCATAGAAAGGTCTCCCAAGGGTCCCAAGGGACTCTTGAAATCCACACAGGCGGCTTCATGATCGAGTAATATCTCAATGATTCTGGAACATCGTATCCTACGAACATAACACTGTGCTGTCAAAAGTCATTCTTAGAATATGCATGGGTTGGTTCCATGGGCCGAAAGGAAATCGAGACAACCACGGCTGCAATCATCTCCGATCTAGAATTACCCCATGGGGCTCCGCGCTTGAGCAGAAGCATACCATGGATACTGACCCCACATATGATGCGACATGAAGTGGATGGCTCAGTGGGCAATCCGAAGGACGAATCTGGACAGTAATCATAGCAGCTACAAATTGTAGAATGTGATTATGTTGAATCATGTGTCGCACCGTCTGTCTCAAGCAGCCCGTCAGCGAAACCACATCGGCATGGCCTACGTGGCAAATGTACAGTCCTATTTCCTTGTAGTAAGAAATAATAAACTGGCTCTAAAAAAACTATCTTATGGTGATTGAACTCATCCAGGAAACCTATCAATTAAGTGGATTGTCAATGAATAAGGTTTAGAAGACTCTTTTTGTAATTTTGTAAACTCAATATACAAAACAAGCTTTATGTTAATAAGAGGTCCGCCGCCGAGCGGCTATTATTTCCATAGACTTCTTGCCAAGACTTATATGGTCATGGAGTAGTAAAGGCCTTTCCTGCTGATCTGGACCGATCCATCGAAACGACGTGAACTCGTTTTATCTCTTGCCTTGCATTTCATGTGGCTTTACTTCGGGCTAATAACGTCTTCGAATACTATATCACGAGCTTTCTCAAGGTTTCTTATGACGCCCTTGGAGTCCACACGTCATGAAAGCCCACTTACTGAAGCTTATTTGCAAACGGCATGGAGACTTTAACCCCGGTCAAATGGAATGAGCTAAAGAGTCATCGACAAACACCAGACTTGATATGCTAGCCCCAACAAAGTGCCTTGTGATCGCGTCTATTTGTTCGAGGGCAGTCTAAGCTTGCGTTCTGGGCTTTACCAAGCTGCATGCAGTCAGCCGTTTCCAACCAAACCCTAATAAACTTGGAAGAAAATGCCGCATCGAATTCCATGTCAGGCATAGGCCGCATCATAGACGATAAAGAGACTCTTGCGGTCATCAGTATGCCAATGAGATTTTAGGAAGCGATTAGTTGTATCGTCATGCAATGGGTAGTGGGAACACTGGTACCGCTCTCAAGCCCGGTCATTTGCCTGCTATCAGGTTTGGCGCATAGAATTGAACCTTTGTCCTGAAACAACGGAACATGTATTATGGTACCAGCAGTACCCTTATACGTATAAGAACGTCGCGATATGCCATGGTATTAGGAATTGAGATATCTGTTATCGAACTTCCTTCCATTAATCAAATCTACCACATTCCGAAACAAGTTAGAACTTCACTTAACCTATACCCATCCCTGAGTGCCAGTCACCATGCCGACGTCTTATGGAACTTTGCAATGGGTGGCTCCAAATCGAGCAAATGCCAAATTTGATATCGATGGTGTGGACACCACATGCGCCATGACTATCAATGGCGCGGTTCCAAATTTCGGCTCCTCGGAGGCAACATTAAATTTTCAAGATACAGACCAACTCTCCGGCACACGAAGCTTCGATGGCCACATTGGTAGAGGAGACTTCGAAACCGATTTTGATAACGCTCCTAAGATCCAAGGCGACCTAAGCATGCCTATCGACCAATACATAACTGTTATGGGCAATGCAATCTGGACACGGTCCTTCTGATAATCAAAGTATGTACTTTTGTTAGACTTTACTGGTAGGTACATTCTCCTGGAGGAATCTTTTGAAACGCTAACAAGTTTGCCACAGAAGCTGAAGAAATATTTTGACTAGCCCGGAAAAGCAGGCTGGCAGGAGGCCTTCAATTCGGGACCTGTCTGTCTAAGTGTAACGTTGATTTCTTCAATCTTTGCAAGCCTCAGTACAGGTTTTTCCTCCTCAACCAGAGGGTTTTTTCCCTGCACTTATATGCGAATGCAGAGGCAACTGTAACCTAGTATAAGATGCTTTTATCAGCTTGAATATTATTTAGTTTACTCTATTCAATGAGATGAGGTCCCTCTTGTTATTTCGGAGTGAACTTCTTCTCGTCGCTGTATAATATTCCATACTCTCGGGGCCGTTTCGGATTGACTATAGGTAGTCATGCAGTATACCACCAGCCCAAGCACCACAACGAACCATCGAAGTATGGCCTCCCCTTTCTCATCTTCCAACATATTCATGGTCAAGTGCCGACACCCCGACTCAACCACCTCGCGCATTAGAACTACTGAAGTGAACATTCTTTCGGCCTCAGCTCCCCAGACTTCAGCGCTATCAAAATCACGTCGTATCGGCTGGAGAAATCTCTTGACAATTCATGAGAGGGGTGGGCAGGATATACGCGTTCTAGGAAGACAAGCAGGAGGGTGCCCTGGTGGGCTTAAATGCCTCCTTCACACGCGGGGATTTCAAGCCCTCATGCAGCAGGTATGATGAATTCGGGGAACCGAAGCCTTCTCCCTGGTCCCGGATGATGCATCTTTATCCGGCCTCCCCCAATCAATATCGCCAAGCACCATATAGCCAACAGGAATGATCAACCCAGATGAATAATCGTGCACTTGTCGATGATCTTGCCTGACGTCTTTGTTGCTATTCAGGAAGTGTCAGGACAAGATGCAATATCTCAATACGATGTAGCCGGGTCATCGGAAGCTACAGGGACCTGTTAAATGGAAAATCGGCGACCTCGCCGCCATCGGGGGAAGAGGATAATCTCGATTGGGGTTTGTTGAGGCGATGGGTGGTGTATTTTCGAGTTGATGGTTTCGCACAGCTGCGGTAGTTGCACGATAAAATACGTGCCCCGCCTGGTCTCGCGGAGAATGCAGTCAGCATTATCACTTTGAATGCCATTTGTATATGGCATTTGATGAGCTTCTGGTTACACGGCCTACATGTCTTGCCCGCTTGAACAGGTGGCTGAGCCGGCTTTCTCGTAAATTGCTGAGGTTGGGGAGCAATCTAGGAAGGTTGCTCAGAGCGGTGCAACTGTAGACCTTCGAGCCTATAAGTTTCCACAGGATAAGCTGAATAGAAGAACAGCTATACCAGAAGGTGGATGCACGTTCATATCTGGCTATATGGACGGATATATGTCTGAAAGATCGCATAAAGCCGGTCCATTATTAGCTAAAGCAAGGTTGTCATAGGACAGTACACATCATAAAGTGTTAGAATTAGGCGTGAGTAACCGGTAAAGAATATAACCTCTCATTGGAAAGACTTTAATTGCAAATAAATGGTCATTCCAGTCATGTCGTGACTGCACAAGATCAGGCAAGTGGGCCGACAGTACTTTGAGCATCGCTCCCGTGCACTAGATTGGGTAGGTGGGGCCAAAGGCTACTGAGTAGTCTCCCATCATTCGTAGGCTGTGAGAAAGAATCATACTAGTAATGCTAATTTCAAGATAAATCCTACTTCGCATTCTGAGGACAGCCAAATGTACGTAGTACACATGTTAGAATAAATTAGTTTGCTACTAATCCGAAACCTTGGCCATCACCCTATTTGCCCTACGACCCAGTCTTTGAGGGCAAACTTCTGAATGTAATCCCTGCTTTTGTGTTTATATACGGTGTTATGCGAGTAAAATTTGGGATGTATGAGGCTCCAATGATTAGGGGTAGAGTTACTCGGTCAAGCTACCTTGTCGCTGTTTGAAAATTAACCTGAACCACTTAGGAACGGTGGTCTTGTATCGAGTGTAATTGCTTTTCGAGACCCTTCTAAAATCCCTGAGCGACAATACGCGTGGCGGAGCAAGATCAAGGCCCTCATGAATGTACACGTAACGCTCATGGGCCATGGACCTTTTTCTAGAATTGGATTGGTTTTCTCCGCCAGACTGTCTTATGATATTGAGTATCAAACTTAGTTCAATCACTATTGAGTAGTGGCAGGATAAAGCTGCGAAGTCATTTGTCGATTGAGAACCAAAAGCACGGACTGATTTGCTGACAGCTAGCATCCTTAGGCGGGGTCGGGTTGATAAGCATTCCACTCGGCTGGACCTACTCAATCTATCATCATTCGCATACTACTTAGCCGACTTCGAAGTATTAATATGTGATAGCTTTGCCGCACCACACTCGCCATACTTGCCACTGTATAGAGAAACCAAACGGGCACCGAATTCTTACACATTTCACTGATGTCTGAACTTAGCGCGAGTTTCACAATTCATCACCTCGATGGATATTTCGAGCGCATTGAATTACCCGCACGATTTCGGCGCGAGCAGAACCCCAAGCTCGACCGAGGGCTTCTAGCAACTATCCAGGCCTATCATGTCTCCCACATCCCGTATGATAACACTGCCCTCCACTACAGCCCAACACCTTCCATATCGCTTCATATCCACGATATCTTTCACAAACTTGTGACAAGAAAGCGAGGGGGTTACTGCATGGAGAACAATATTCTCTTATACCATGTATTGAGACAGCTAGGGTTTGACGTGTACCTCACTGGCGCTCGTCTCTTTCGAGACGCAAACAACCCTAAACCGGGTTGGTCGGGCTGGTAAGTAAACCCCCCTTCCATATCCCAGATTGAGACTTAGCATATGATTCTCTAGGGAACACGCCGTGAACATCGTTACTCTCGCAGACAACTCCAACTACATGCTTGACGTCGGCTACGGGGGCGATGGACCAACCACCCCATTACCCCTAGTTCACACCCCCATCCCCATCCACAATATCGGCACGCAGGAAATCTGCCTCCAGAAGAATGGAGAATCGTCGGGAGATCGGTCACATTCCGCCAACGATCCTAGTACTAACGCTTGGACCTACCAGTTCCGCAACGGCAGCGAGCAAGCCTGGCGTGTGGGTTATGCCTTTCATGAACTCGAGTTCTTTCCGCGGGACTTCGAGGTCATGAACTTTTACACGAGTCAGAATCCGACCTCGTTCCTAACACAGCGGTTGTTGGTCATTCGGTTCCTGCAACGCGCTGACGGTGAGGTCTACGGGAAAGTGATTCTGGATCAGGATAAGTTGAAGGAGAATCGGGGAGGGAAGAATGAGCTGGTGAAGGTGTGTAATACTGAGAGTGAACGGGTGGACGTTTTGCGGGATGTTTTTGGGGTGGACCTTACGGAGGAGGAGAGAAGAGGTGTCTGTGGGAGGGTGTCGGCTTTGCCCGTCTAGGGTGTGTCCGTAGTAGAAGGGGGTATTGGACTATATATTCATTAACGTACATTTTTGTGATCAGACAGTTATGTGATCCATGATTTAGATCGTTGGGTTATGCAATAACATGCAATTCTAAGATAACTTACCATCTCTACTAATTTATTTGTGAGAACTCATCCGTCAAACCCACCTCTCACCTCATTTCAACTACTCAGCAACCTCAACAACAATATGCCCAACACCCCGAGAAACGCAAGCCAGCATCTCTGATTTCTGCTCCGATTCCATCAAGGCAGTCCCCCGATGCAACACCCGCCCACAGCGAACAGAAACCCTGCAAGCCCCACAATTTCCCACCTCACAAGAACTCCCAATCTCGAAGCCCGCACCTCGCACAACTTCAAGAAGCGACTGCTCAGCCCCTACCTGAAGTCCCTCTGACTTTCGACTTGGACCAACAACATCCACAGTGAAGGGGTCACCGGCGGCATCATCACCATCGAATGCCTCATAATGTACCTCATCAGGAGACATATCCACTGCGGTGGCCGTCTGTACCACGGCGTCGATCATGCGCTGCGGCCCACACACGTAAACATGGCTGTTCCAGATGCGATTTCGCAGGATCTCAGCAATGTCCATTCGTTGGCCCTGCGACTTATCGTAGATGGTGACATGCGGCTGCAGGTCCTCCAGCAGGGGTTGAAAGGCAACGTCAGTGGCGCTCCGCACCGCATAATGTAGGGAATAGTCCTGGTTTGTGTCCTTGAGGCGTTTCATCATAGCGAGGAGGGCGGTGATTCCTATCCCACCCGCGATAAAGATGTGATGAGACGCCATCTTGTCGATGGCTAAGCCCTGCCGTATCCCAGACCCCACTAAGACTGTGTCCCCCCGTTTGAGTGTTTGATGGATAAAGCTCGACCCGCCGCGGCTGCGTTCGTCCAGGGCCACCCCCAGTGTAAACCGATCCGTGTTGCCGTGAACGATGGAATAGGCGCGTCGTAACCCGCTAGGAAGCTTGAGCCGGGCATGACTGCCAGGTAATATAGCACCAGGTGAGGAAGCAGTTCGGCTAACTGCCTCCAGCTCCAGGCGCACTATGCGAGGAGTCTCCGCCGTATGACTAGCAACTCTGAATTGCCTCCAAGTCTCAGGCGGACGCTTAGCCGCGGCCTCCTTCTCCTGATGTGCTCGCCAGCGCTCGATGAACACATCCCTGCATTCATCCCCCAGGACCTCCATTGTCATGAGATGCTGCGTCACTGCCAAGTCTGTCTTGTCGCGGTGGACGTAATGGTGCAAACGGGCGATCGACCATCGCGGATGACTTCGACGAATAACGCTAATCTCCAACCCTTCTTGTATCCACCCTTCCTCTATGACACGGTAATACCATCCCGTCTTAGCCTCCTGGTGAGTGAGCGGAGCGAAGTTCTTTATCCCGAAGCGCTGGTTTAGCTTGAAGCACGGTTGGCGCGGGAGACTGACCTCCAGCACGCAACCGTTGCGGCCGCCAGTGCTCAGGGAGCCCGGTGGCCCAATGCGCACCCTATCGCCGATGCATACGGTCTGCTCGTTCCAGCCATCCGCGACGAGATTCTCGCCAAAGCCGCCCGGTACGAAGCGTGTACGAGCCTCGGGAAAGCGATCGGCCCAGAAGGGGTAGTGGTCTGAGCAGTACTGATGAATGGCTTTGTCGATGCCCCCGTGGAAGGTCAGATCGTGTTCGTCATCTTCTAGGCCGATTGTGGAGACGTAGAGCTGGCCAGGGCGGGTTTGCTTGTCGATGCCGGAGAGGACGGGGCCAAAGGAGCGGAGTTTGGAGGTGCGGATTTCTTGGAGGGTCGTTGGGGGTGGGATGGGAATAATGGGAGATTGTGAGCTGAAGTCGATGCGGGTCATCGTTGTAATGATATACCTGCGGTTGTTGGAGGCGGTCTCATTTCACCGTTGGTGCATTTTCGCTGGAAAATGAGCCTAGGGCTGCATTTATAGTATGACTCTCCGGATAGGACCAAACAAGTTAGTGATCCGTGGCTGTCGTTCCCGCTCACCCGAATAGGAAGTTATCTGGTGAGGGACCCACTCCTCCAACCCTGGTTTGTTTTTCCTTTTCCTCCTCACTCCCCGGCTCTGTTGACTATGGTAGAGCAATATGGCAACCGTGATTATTATGCTCATGAAGATTGGTCAATCAATCACTGGTTAGCCATCAGTCACCTTACTTGCACTGATAGCCTAATGTATCTCTTGGGCTTGCTTCTTCAAGCGGCGTTCGCTCAAGTGTAATAAAAGCCAGAGAAAGCGTCTGCCACACAACCCACAAGATCGGACATGATGCATAACATATCGAGCTCCTCCCTTGTCAAATGAGATCTTTGGCCAACGACTCACTGGGCCTTGCCTTTGGTGGTGCTGGCGCTGTGTAAGAGATGGTGGTTAAAGGGGCTTGCTTTGGTTATTTTCTGCCCTCTAGTAGTCACTGGAGTGGCTGAAAAGATAAACAGATACCAGCATAACAACCTATCGAAGGCAGTATAACCACCACCCTCTATTCTCAATACAGCAGAATTCCGAACTCCCACCCTTGTGTTGTGGAGATCAACCCAACGGGGCTGCATGCATACGGAAGCTTAATCTCTGGTGGGGAGTTGGTGCTCGGCAAGTCTCCTTTCGTCAGCAAAACCTCTCAGTCTCAATGCTGCTGCGCCTTTATCCTTCTCAAACTCTTACTCCGAAAGAATCTCTTTATCATATATTAATCCTCTCTTTTCCTCCTTGTTCTGGTAGATCAAAAAGGACGTATTCGTCGCCGCAGCAAAATGATCATTTACACTCTTTAAACATACATCCAGCACTACCCCAAATCCAGTCTAGTTCCTATTCCATCCACCCGATTTCATTGATCGAAACCAAAAGTTCCGCCCCATCCCCCCACCTGCCATCAACCAATAATCATCACCATTCACCTTACAGCCTAGTAAGTAGTAGTATCTACACTGACTCTGATACTGTGTAGTGGATATAATCCATTCATACATCTATCAAGCCAGCATCTCATCTCCTTACAGTCCATATCATCTCTTCTACCCTGAACATAAGTCTTTGCCTACCTCCCCTAATCAAGCCATTAACCAATCTGCCAATCAGTCAAGCTATATCACACAATACCATACTCGAGAAACGTGAACTTCGCTGCATTTTACCAACCAAATACCAAAATGGCCTGGTCCAAAGCAACCATCATCGCGCTGGTGACTCTGCTTGTAACGGGGCCTCCATCGCTGCTTATTTTTCGGTGCAGATGGCGGAGGAGATCTGAACGGGAAAATGATGGGCGTGACAAGGGGTATGGGGAAACGAATGGATGGATGGCTAGAAGAGATTCTAGGTATGATGTTCCAAGAGGTGAGTGAGCCTTTCTTCCCTTCTTCATTGGGATTATATGCTAGTGGAACTGGGATTGGGGTTGAGAGTTAGTTCTAACGGTTGAAACAGAGGTGTTCGTTTCGCAGAGGATGATCAATGAGGTTTGTGTAGGTTATAGAATTGTGGAAAGGGAGGTGGATCCGTAAAGGTTTATATGATATGCGTGGGTAGAGGAGATGAGCTTATATTGGTAAATGCATATTATAATTGAATAAAGCGTTAACAACCAAATGCCTATGAGTGTATATAACCTAGCAACCATCTCATCACATCGAAATGACCCTCTCGTTCTGCGGCTGTGGCAGCTCTACGACACACAAATGACAAGTTCGGTCGATCTCCATACGCATTCAAAAGTAACTGAACCATATCGAGATAGTCATGTTCCGCTGCTCTATCAATGGCCAATCTGCCATCAATAGGCGCTGCTGGGGCCGCCTCATCCGCCCCCTTGGCTAACAATCGCATGGCAAGGCCACAGTATCCGTGCATAGCGGCGGCTTGCGATGCCGTGGCTCCGCGATGCTTTCCTGGGTGGGCATTCACGTCAGCTCCATGGTCGATTATTAAATTTGCGATATCCACTTTTTCGCTCAGGATGGCTAGTGCAATGGCGTTCCTAGGTTATCTGTTGCTGGAGTATTTATTTCAGCTCCATTGTCCAGCAATAATTGGACGACGCTTAGTCTGGGTCCACTAACAAACCGCCTGACTGAACGTTGGAGTAGTGTTCCATGGTATAACGGGTTGTCGTCGTCAATGTAAGCAGCATTGATGTCCGCCCCGGCGTGGATTAATAGTCGGACCATTTCGAAGTCGGGAGCCCAGTCATTGTCCATCATAAGATGAGACATTATTGTTTTGAGTGATCGGGAGTGTTGCTCAGGGCAATACTGTGACATCAATGTCATTGTTCTCTTGACAACGCCCGCTTGGCCGACTTCTACCGCCGTCTCGAGCGCCGATTCCTTTCCTATGAGATTGTTGAAGCCGGGGCCATACGTCAATTGCAGATCGATAATATCAAGTGAGCATGTATTTTCAAGGGCGAACGTGAAGGCAGATGATGACACATCGTCATGGATAACAGCGGGGTTGGGATTAGTGACAAACGTTAGTAATAGCTGAATCATTCGGTGGCCTCTCTCTTCAATCGCATGACCCAAGGCAGTATATGTGGTATCTCCGGGGTGTGGTGGCAGGGCGTCGATATCTGCACCATCTTGTGCGAGAAATCGCACGCCATCGGGCCATCCCAAGTACACTGCATACTGGAGGGCTGTTTTGTTTCCGGCACGGAAGCAATTGTTCATGTAGGGTGACGACAAGGGCTTTGAAGGTCGCTCGTTCACGTCTGCACCTGCCTGGACTAATAGACGAAATGCTTCGAGGTCTTTATTCTGAATCGCAGCATGGAGGGCTGTGAGTCCATCCTCCGGCCCGGCTGGCGCATGCACATCTCCCTGCTTGTCCAGGATTACCTTGAGACTGACCAAATTACCAGAAAACGATGCCGCTTGCAACATGGTGATCCAGCCACGGAACCCTGGTTTGGCATTGATATCGGCTCCCATCTGTGGTAGAAATAATTCGTGTACTCATTTAAATTACCAGACCCAAAAGAGCCCCGTATCAGTACTGTATATATTGTAACTACCTCCCTGTGTCGGGATTGGGTACGGGTCATGCTTCTACGCCCTCGGCGTGCCAGGGCAATAGAACGGAAGGGACTCTATCATCAATTCGTCGGTTTTTGGCTACGTATGAGCGAGCGGGGAAAGAGAAAAGAACCCCGGACGTCGGCAGACAAAGCCTCACACCAATCAAAACGGAGCTTGTTGGCCGTCGGCCAACAAGCGGCATTTCGATTGGTGTGTTTGCCCATAGTCCGCCGTGCACGGTTGCTAGTTGTAAACAAATGAAAACCATCCATTTTCTTTCGGGACGAGGATCGTCTCGTTCCAATCCGGTAGCCCTCACATCTCACCTACACATCCAAGAATTTTGCCTGATGTAACCATCAATAGACAGGTTAGTGAAGGATCCGGTTCCAGCAAACTCATTTGCAGCACATTCTGATGGAGCCACCGCATATGGGGTCAACTCGGACAGCCATGCCGGGTTTGAGCTAGTGAGTTTCAGCGGGGCCCCATATCCGGTCGACGCGGGGAATGAAGCAATTGCCAGCCCGCAGCTGCGTTGTATCTGCCTTTGCTTCCAGCAGTCTCACCACTATTGTTAAGCTTCCTTGTGCCGCAGCCGCCTGGATCGCCGTCCGGCCAGAGTACTTTTGATCCAGGAATTCGGTTATCTTGATCCCTGTCCTGTGGTATTGGGTCGAAGATGCTTGGTTTATATTGACTAAAGCCAGCGGGAGGAGTCAACCAAGCATTTTCAATTGACGAGTCAATCGGGGATTCTTGAAGAACCCAGTCCTGCAGGAAAAGTTCGAAGACGTTCGTTTGGTTAACGGATGAAACCTCACGAGCGCCTCCCATAGCCCTATGGTTGAGGGCTAAATGGCCTGATTGGCTATATGATTGTCCATCTACCGGATTAAATGGTAAGTTGAACATGTCAACATTTGCGGCTGGTGTGCTGAATTATCGCACCACCGCAGACTGACTTTGATACTCGAATAATATCCAAGGGAGGTTATCAGTGCGGACCTCCCTCGTAGGGGCAAACGGCCTCGGCATCAGTCGAGGCGTACGAACCTCCACGCCCTCTGGTGCGGTGTCATTCTCCCCTATTCATCCGATAGCTTCGTGTCAGCCACGCCGCCTATCCCCAACCAGCCCATGAAGACTGGGAAAACTCGCCTTCCAACGCAAAGTTAGTAGCAGATGTAACATGTCTCGCCATTTCCCTCTTTGCCTGCTTAGCCGTGTAGATCTTCCCATGCATAAACACTTCGTAATCTTCTTTCCCCTGTAACTTTCGTTTGGCAACCTCTCGCTGCACAAACACCCTTGCTGAGGTCGTACCGTTCTTCCTCAACCCCCAAGCTTTGAGCTTCTTCTTGTACTCGGATTCCCTAGTACATCATGAGCACAGATCAGTATGCGGGCAGTAAATCCTACTTTCTGTGGAATCCATGCTTCGCGATCATATGTTTCATCATCCGGTTTAGTGGGTTCTTGCGGTAGAGGGATGAGACTTCTTCTTTGTGTTTGCTCCATTCAGCATCTTTTGAAAACATGATTAAACTTTGTCCAGTGTATACTGGAAAGAAAACGCGGCTGTTCTGATTACCGCCGGTGGTTCAAGGGAGGTCCAGGTAAAAGAGGTTGGCGCAGCTGGTTATTAGCCTCGTGCTCAGCCTCTCGGATATGGAGACGCTAAGAAGTACTTAGTCCGTAGTTTGAATAGAGGCACAGCCACGGACTTGCGGCAGGGATCCTCTTCCGTCAGGATTGGCGCAGAAGCTTGGGGGCTTTGCGCATTGAAACTAGACAAAGAGCCAAGGTGAGTTGGAAGTTATTACTATGGAACTCTTGTGGTTTCATATGCTGGATTTTTTGATGTTTTCGTTGTAGTTGTCGAGTAACAGTCAAAAATGGATCGAGTTGGGTATGTGTATCGATCTCTTTTTCACGGCATGCAATTGAAGCTCGCGGAATGAATATTATTTAATATTATCTTGCATCTACTTCACTGTTCATCCGGGATAATCACCCTGTCCAGCACGTTCAGAATGCTCCTCAAGGCTAAACTTAGATTCCCAACCTCGCAGCCTCCGCCCTTAGAATATCCGGCACTTCGTCCTCCAGGCTATTTTCTTGTGGCTTCCACCCAAAAACCCTCCGTCCTCTTAGCGCCTTGCCGCGCGAATTCCAACCCCAGCTTGCAGCCTCGAAGCCCGCCGGCGACTTGATCGCCTCTTCAAGCGAGAGCTCCTTAACATCCGGCTTCTCCTTCAACAGTCCTAAAGCATGTGCCTGCTTCCCCACCAACTTCGCCAGATCACCCCAAACATGCTCACCGTTTTCACAGAGAAAGTACCCCTTCTCACCCCAGATCTCCTTGTCAGCCTTCTTGCTAGGATCAAGCGCTGCATCAACGAGAGCCCCAAACAATGTACTTAAATCATAAACATGCACATTATTCCAGCGTGCCAGACCCTTGCCAATTTGAGGGGTGTAGCCCTGTTTCAAGATAAAGCTAGCAAGCTCATAAGCCTGTCTACCGCGAGAAGACACAGGTCCTCGTCCTTTCCCGTAGATAGTAGGTGGGCAAACAATGACTGTCTTGACCGTGTCGGGATGCTCGGTTCCCGTCTTGAGAACGATCTCGTCGACGTTGCGGTGGAACGCATCCGCGGGAAGATTGACAAGTTCACCTACTCCCTCATCGTCGTTGAATTCTTTGTCGTCATGCTCGCCATGGACTTTCTTCACTTCGGAATCAAAGTATGTCAGGATTCCGGTGCCGCCGGTGTGCAGCCAGTAGCCCGGTCTTTCGGGGGAATGACCCTCGATCATTCCCTTGGCGATGGCATTGGCCGCGCCGACATGGTCGGAGGCGTCGGCGGTGTCTATTCCATCAGCTTTCATGGTCTTTGATACTTATACACAATAAAAAAGATAAGGTAATGGAAAGGAGGAGAAGGGGCACTGTGCATACGAAGAACAATATCCGCCCAAGCAGCTTCTTTTACAAGAATCTCCGAATCATCTAGACTACCAATAACAGTGCGGATATTAGGGTATGCCTCGCGAACTCGGCTCGCTTTCTCCTCTGAGCGAATCAAGGCGGCATATTCAAAGTTGGGGTGGTGCTGTGAGAGGTAATAGAAGGCATCGCCGCCAATGTAGCCGGTCACACCGGTGATGAAAAGCTTGGTAGGCATATCGATAACCCTTGGGAAGTATTCAGGGATTGGGTGGTGCTGGCTAACTCACAAAGACCGATGTTTACATGGTGAGTTTGATGTTTAAATGCTTAACTGGTTCGGTGTGGGGCAATCCATTAGTTAGTACATGACTTCATAACTTACAAATCATCAAATAATCGTCCCCAAAACATTACCGCTTTTGTGCATACTCGGCCGTGTCCACGCAAAATAGCCAATCACATTCCACAATTTTGCGAATATGCGGGGTGCGAACAAGGCACCGGACAAGTTCTAGATAGCATATAACCAGGAAAGTCTCCGAGTTATCTAATCAGAATTGGCAAAAGCCGTAATCGGGTATCCAATCGAAAGCTGCTGCTGCATCGGCATTGTCAACGAGCCCTCTTGCATAATCATCATGCGCTGTCCATGGGCTGCAGCAGGGTTACTCTCATGCAGGAGAAGGTACGCTTCTAGAAAAGCCCTTGCGCTCCTCACACAAACCATCCGACTATACTCCTGCTTATCGCCACGCGCTCCTTGCAAGAATAATGGCATGTATAGCTGTCCTTTCAAGCTGTGAGTATGAACGAGGCGGAAGGACTGAGTTGCTGTAAGGAACCCATGAAGCAGAGCCCCAGGCCCATCAAACACTGCAGGCCATATATACTTCCAGTAAGCTCATCATTATTCAGAATTCAATGCTTTACTGAAGTAGGGTATTTTGCAAAGTCACCCGTGCTGAGAGCAAAGCAGGGTAAGAGACTTTCCAATTAGAGCGGGATGGCCGGTCTGGAAGACCCGAATGGCGTTATATCTTGGCTGTTATTTTGAGTAAACATATCAGTTCAGCAGATACCAGGTTGTAAATCAGGTAATTTAGGCCCTTATCGTCGCTCCAACGCTACATTGACCAAAGTTTACTAAAGAGTATTGATTCCTGTCATACTAATATCCCAAACATATATATTTCCATTAGAGTCTTGGCGTAATCTAACAACGAATGAGTGATTGAACAAAAAAGGAGATCGTGTTGTCCCGATAATTGTAGCCGTAAATTTAATACGACTAATCAGCCGCAATATACCGATATTGGACACATTGAAGTTCAGTCCATTAGCAACAATAATGCCACCGCCTCATGTAATTCTTTGTTGCCGTTAAAAACACCGTCACTGTAGTAGCATTGGACTTAGAGCATTAATTAGCAAACCCTTACATCAACTAGCATCATTGGTCTAGTGGTAGAATTCATCGTTGCCATCGATGAGGCCCGTGTTCGATTCACGGATGATGCACTCTCTTTTTTTCTTTTTTTTTTCTTTTTACTCCCTATCTCACTACCTGTTCCTTAGTATGGTTAACAACATTCCAATTGCTCCTCTGGTTCTATTTTTGATTTTCTGATAGACTCCAGTGCTACTCAAGTGCCGTAGCTTGAAATAGCATCTCATGATATGTTTGAATTTCTCGACCTCCCATGCACTTGACTGAGCCGACAGGAGAATATTTGGCTATCCTATGATAATACCAGACAAGTTGGACTGTGCTATTTACAGAACCTAGTATGCGCCCTTCCGCTTCTTGTACTTGGGCTGATCGACCGACTCGACTTCCCCAAGGGCAGTCAGCACCGGAGTGGTGTAACTCAACTCCAAGCTTTCCAACTTGCCTCCGGCGGAGTCGAGAGCCCACAGGGTCACCGCCAACCAGTTCGTTCCACGGTAGTTCAGAATTCCCTCAGGGACAGGGAAGCTGGTTTGAGGTCCGATGTTGCTGATGTATTTAGCATATTGGTATCCGTTGACGTAGACTTGCACGCGGTACGGGGATGGCGTAGTGCTGTTGCCGATGTTGAGGAACAGTGGCACATCCCATCCCTTTGGCAGGTCAAGGTCAAACTTGGCGCTATAGAAACCAATGCCTGCCTCGGAGAGTCCCTCAAGAGGGCTGGAAGACTTCCAGTTCCCGCTGGGAGGCTCAGGCTGGTGGAAGCCTTGGCGCTCAGCGTAGAGACCGCCCTCGTTCAGGGGGCCGCGAACCTTGTCTTCGTAGTCTTCGCCGCCGAGGTTTCCGGTCAGCTTCCAGCTGATGGCACTGCCCGGACGCCCAGCAAGTAGGAAGTTCAGAATACCACGCGGGGTCTTCATCAGATCCTCACCAACGGTCCAGTTCTCCTCGAGGCCCATGTTGTCGATCACGACGGTGATCACATAAGACTTGCCAGCCTGAAGCTGAGGCAGTTTGTAGGTGGCGTTGTAGTCGGAGTTTACGTAGAGACCAGTCCAAGACCCGAGGTAGGTTCCGTTCAGCCAGACAGAACTTCCGAACGCTGATCCACCCTGTGTATCGATCGAAAAGGTGCTCTCGTTGCCTGTGGCGGTAAAGTGTCCGCGGTAGAGCAAGTAGCCAGTGTGAAAGCCATAATCGGATGAGTACAGAGAGGTAGGAGTCGTCAGAGACCGAAGCGTATTCTTGGTCTGTTTGAGATCTGCGGCAGGCCAGAGAGAATCATCGTAGGAAGACTGGATCTCAGGAAGAGTGTCCACATACTTCCAGTCCAAGTCCTTCAGGCTGGGAAGCGAGATATCAGGGGCGTTGTATTCGACAGTAGCTGACCAGATGCCGTTCTTGTCAACGGTGTGCGACGTCTTGTCTCCATTAATGAATAGATTCTTAGCCGTAGACGGGACACCAATCACTTCAACGGAAGTGGTAGCGTTGAAGTCTGCGGTGAGGTAAAGACCGCTGCCCTTCAGGTACGCAGTCCGTACAAGGTAGCCCGCTTTGACGATGATGGATGAGGCGACCGTCTCCGATGTGCTGAATCCTGGTGAAGTGCCATCTGTGGCAAGTTGAGGCACCCAGTAGTTATAGGCAGAGTTTCTGTCTGCTAATAGTTAGCTTCAAGTGATTCAGCTGGGGAAGTGAACCTACCAAGGAGAAGAACCTTCAGGTCGCCAACTTGGATGATGCGGCGAGTGGTCGACACATCCCAACCTACAATTACAGACGAGGAGGTCTGTTTTGACGAAATACCAGATTCGGATCCTTCGATAACCGTGACATTCGATTTGGTTGAAATGGCAAGTTCGTGGTGTTCACCTGCACCTCCGTAAAGCACGAGAACCTTTCCGTCGGCAAACTTCTTCCAGGTGAAGACCTCGGCGGTAGAGTAGATAATGTTCGTTCCAGAGACATTGTAGTCGGTCACGTGTATTTTCGAATCGCGACCATTAAGCGTGAGCGTGCCACCAAGCTGAGGAATAGTCACGGTACCAGCACTGGTAGGAAGACGAAGCTTGTATGATGTTGAATCCTCGCTGCTGTAGTCCGAATGTCTAACCACGAAGAAAGAGCCAGTG